GACTTTTGTTTGTTGGAAGATTTTAAATCACAGCTTCAATTTCATTACTTGCGATTGGTCTGTTCATATTTTCTATTTCTTCCTGGTTCAGTCTTGGAAGGTTATACCTTTCTAAGAATTTGTCCATTTCTTCCAGGTTGTCCGTTTTATTGGCGTAACGCTGCTTGTAGTAGTCTCTTATGATGCTTTGTATTTCTGCGGTGTCTGTTGTAACTTCTCCTTTTTCATTTCTAATTTTATTGATTTGAGTCCTCTCCCTCTTGATGAGTCTGACTAATGGTTTATCAATTTTGTTTATCTTCTCAAAGAACCAGCTTTTAGTTTTATTGCTCTTTGCTATTGTTTTCTTTGTTTCTATTTCATTTATTTCTGCTCTGGTCTTTATGATTTCTTTCCTTCTGCTAACTTTGTGTTTTGTTTGTTCTTCTTTCTCTAGTTCCTTTAGGTGTAATGTTAGATTGTTTATTTGAGACTTTTCTTGTTTCTTGAGGTAGGCTTGTATAGCTATAAACTTCCGTCTTAGAACTGCTTTTGCTGCATCCCATATGTTTTGGATTGTCGTTTTTATCTTTTTTTTTTTTTTTTTGTGGTTCGCGGGCCTCTCACTGTTGTGTCCTCTCCCGTTGCGGAGCACAGGCTCCGGACGCGCAGGATCAGCGGCCGTGGCTCACGGACCCAGCCGCTCCGCGGCATGTGGGATCTTCCCGGACCGGGGCACGAACCCGTGTCCCCTGCATCAGCAGGCAGACTCTCAACCACTGCGCCACCAGGGAAGCCCGGATTGTCGTGTTTTGATTGTCATTTGTCTCTAGGTATTTTTTGATTTCCTTGTTGATTTCTCCAGTGATCTCTTGGTTATTTAATAACATACTGTTTAGCCTCCATGTGTTTGTGTTTTTTACGTTTTTTTCCCCTGTAATTGATTTCTAATCTCATAGCGTTGTGGTCAGAAAGGACGCTTGATATGATTTCAATTTTCTTAAATTTACTGAGGCTTGATTTGTGACCCACGATGTGATCTATCCTGGAGAATGTTCCGTGCACATTTGAGAAGAAAGTGTAATCTGCTGTTTTTGGATGGAATGTCCTATAAATATCAATTAAATCTATCTGGTCTATTGTGTCATTTAAAGCTTGTGTTTCCTTATTAATTTTCTATTTGGATGATGTGTCCATTGGTGTAAGTGAGGTGTTAAAGTCCCCCACAATTACTGTGTTGCTGTCAATTTCCTCTTTTATAGCTGTTAGCAGTTGCCTTATGTATTGAGGTGCACCTGTGTCGGGTGCATATATATTTATAATTGTTATATCTTCTTTTTGGATTGATCCCTTGATCATTACATAGTGTCCTTCCTTGTCTCTTGTAACATTCTTTATTTTAAAGTTTATTTTATCTGATATGAGTATTGCTACTCCAGCTTTCTTTTGATTTCCATTTGCATGGAATATCTTTCTCCATCCCCGTACTTTGAGTCTGTATGTGTCCCTAGGTCTGAAGTGGGTCTCTTGTAGACAGCATATATATGGGTCTTGTTTTTGTATCCATTCATCAAGCCTGTGTCTTTTGGTTGAACCATTTAATCCATTCACGTTTAAGGTAATTATCAATATGTATGTTCCTATGACCATTTTCTTAATTGTTTTCAGTTTGTTTTTGTAGGTCCTTTTCTTCTCTTGTGTTTCCCACTTAGAGAAGTTCCTTTAGCATTTGTTGTAGAGCTGGTTTGGTGGTGCGGAATTCTCTTAGCTTTTGCTTGTCCGTAAAGCTTTTGATTTCTTCATCGAATCTGAATGAGATCCTTGCTGGGTAGAGTAATCTTTGTTGTAGGTTCTTCCTTTTCATCACTTTAAGTATATCATGCCACTCCTTTCTGGCTTGTAGAGTTTCTGCTGAGAAATCAGCTGTTAACCTTATGGGCATTCCCTTGTATGTTATTTGTCGTTTTTCCCTTGCTACTCTCAGTAATTTTTCTTTGTCTTTAATTTTTACCAATTTGATTACTATGTGTCTTGGCGTGTTTCTTCTTGGGTTTATCCTGTATGGGACTCTCTGCACTTCCTGCACTTGGGTGGCTATTTTCTTTCCCATGTTAGGGAAGTTTTTGACTATAATCTCTTCAAATATTTTCTCGGGTCCTTTCTCTCTTCTCCTCCTGGGACCCCTATAATGTGAATGTTGTTGTGTTTAATGTTGTCCCAGAGGTCTCTTAGGCTGTCTTCATTTCTTTTCATTCTTTTTTCTTTATTCTGTTCCCCAGCAGTGAATTCCACCATTCTGTCTTCCAGGTCAGTTATCCATTCTTCTGCCTCAGTTATTCTGCTATTGATTCCTTCTAGTGTAGTTTTCATTTCAGTTATTGTATTGTTTATCTCTGTTTGTTTGTTCTTTAATTCTTCTAGGTCTTGGTTAAACATTTCTTGCATCTTTCTCGACCTTTGCCTCCGTTCTTTTTCCGAGGTCCTGGATCATCTTCACTATTATTATTCTGAATTCTTTTTCTGGAAGATTGCCTATCTCCATTTCATTTAGTTGTTTTTCTGGGGTTTTATCTTGTTCATTCATCTGGTACATAGCCCTCTGCTTTTTCATCTTGTCTGTCTTTCTCTCCTTCTGTTTTCTTATTCATATCTGCTAGACATAAAAAATGTTTGTTTCACTGAAGAGCACTGTAGCCATATTCCTCCTCTACCCGAGCTCCTCTGGTAATGTTCTGCCATTCGAGCCATGCTTTTCATTTACAGAGGATTAAAGATGTGAATGATGGATGAAACCTAGCAGGTCTCGTGCAGTTTCCCTGCTTTGTGTGGTTTCTAGTGCCCCAGTTCCATCACTTTTCACTTTGTCTTCCTTTAATTGTCTTTGCCTGGAAGCATCAGCAGTTACTCCTGAGTGCTGTTGAGTGGATTTGACCTGAAGAGAAGCAGTAGTTGATGGGGACAGTTTGGCATCTGGAGGCTAGCTTGTCTCATTCTGGGTTAGGCGGAACTGGTCTCTTGATCCTTCAGGTCTATCACAACTCCTTCCAGTTTCTGAGATGAGCTTATTCCGGCATTCACAGCTCCTGTGGACTGCCACTAATCCAGTTGCAATGAACTCATAGCAAGCACCATTTTTTTCTCAGTTCTTAAGAAAGGAGCAGTTATGTACTCCTGACCTCCTAATCTAGGTTATATAACCGGAAGCATTCTGGGCAGGTAGTGGGGAGATAGGGACCCAGCATTTGCAAAAGTTTTGGCGACAGAGCATAGAGTGTGTTCAGGAAAGGAGAAGTTCAGTGTGGCTGAAGTGCAGAGGCCTGGTGGGCAGGGGGAGAAATGAAGCTGGACGGCCAGGCCGGGAATAGCCCAAGGGGCCCCGAAGTCTTGAGAAGGCTGGAGTTTATTTTAAGGGTAGTGGGAAGCCACTGACAAGTTGTAAGTAGGGAGTGACACAGTCTGATTTGTATTTTATTAGAAGTTCTGCAGTTACAGTGAATAGATTGTAGTGTTTTAGTGAAAATCCTCTGGCTTCAGGGCTAGAGGGAAACTGACCCAGGTTAATGGTGACTTGGATTTGGGTAACAGCAGAGAGGATGGAGGGTAGTGGACAAATCTGAGAGATGTGATGACTGGATAGAGGGAGAGAGGAAGAAGATGCTCGAAAAAGGTGTGTTTTGTTCGCTCTCGGTCTCAGCGTGAGATCTGGCAGCAGGTCTCAGTTCTTCCATTTATGAGGCGACCGCCCTGTGTCCGCCACCTCCCCACCTCAGAGGTTATGTTCGGATTCAAGAGCAAATACCCTTGAAGCCCTTTGAGAGGCTTGAGACCTGAGAGCAGTTAGGTCAGGCTTTTGAATTTAGCTTATGGTAGATGGTAACATTTGGCAGAAAGGACTCTCCATGCTTCTGATGCCTGCTGGTATAACTCAGCCTCTGCTGTGCCTTTGGCCGGCGTGAGCAGGCTGATAAAAGTGCTGGGAGGAGAATGATGCCTGCGGCTCACTGGAAAGCCCCAGTGCACTTGGCTCAGTGTTATGTCCATATTGAACAATACGGAAGCTGGACCCTTCTCTCTCCTCCCTTTTATGTTCCTGAGGAGCCCTTAGAAAAAGGATCTGTAAACAGAATTGGAACAGACTGGTTTTGTCTTCATAAAACAGAGCTGAGATGTCGGATGTTTGAAAAGACCCTGGAAGGGAAGAAAAGACAGTTTGTAGACGTGTTCCATAATAGAGGGATCAGCTGAAATAAAAGGTGTCCTGAGAAGAATTAGGGCTGGCAGAATGGAATGGCAAGAATTATTCCAAATCATGTAGGATAACATGGGGGGGGGAAGACATGTTCTTTCTTTTCCCTTTAAAGAGTGTGTGTGTGTGTGTGTGTGTGTGTGTGTGTGTGTGTGTGTGTGTGTGTGTGTGTACTGGTGGGACGCTTGAAATCAAAACCCTTTTCTTGCTCTAGAAGCCTAAGGAATGGACCTGAGTGGGCTCATACATTTCGGTCCCTCTTGCCTGGTCTAAGCAGCCAGAGTGGTCTGGCGGCCTGCTGTGGAGTTGTGTCTGTTTGGAAAAGATACAGTTAACCTTTAGCTTGTCCATGCCGTAAACAGACAAGTCCTGGATCTAAAAACAGTACTGACAACTGAATGAGCATGTCAGAAATACCTGAATGACAGCATGGAATTTGGGGAGCCGTTGTAGGTCTTTGAAGGAAGAGCTGAACTCACTGTCGACAGGAATTGTGATGGCTGTTATTTCATCTGGTGTAGATTTGACCATGTGGAGGTAGGGAGAATAGAATGTCATGTTCTATCACTGAGGCTGTGCCATGAGCAACTCTATTGAAATAGAATGTCAGAGCTCCTGGTTGGAGACCCAGGAGGACTGGCCATGGGCTTGGAGTGCGGCCAGGCAGTGATTACAGCTTACGAGGCAGAGAGCAATCCATCCAAAAAGTTCAGTGAGCCTTGTTCAAGCTCCTCCTTAAAGCTTAACACTTCCCCCTCTATTTCTGTCCTTCCAGAAGTGCGTACTGTGCCGCCTCAGTAGCTTCTCTGACCAACATCATCACTCCAGACCTGTTTGAGGGCACTGCTGAATGGATCGCAAGGTGAGAGAAGCTGAGATTTGTCCTGCCTCTTAGACAGCAGGCGGTCAAGACTTCTGAAAAATAAAGTGTAGAAGGACCAGAGAAGGGAATATAAAATTACAAGAGATGTCTGGGTTGAAGGATTGTGCATTTCAAACATACTTTAAAAGTTTTCTTTTTTTCCAAACTTTCTTTAATGTGATTGGCAAGGATCAAAACCTTGGGTAAACAGTATTGGTCAGAGTCTAAATGGAGTTCAACCAGTTTGGAGAGCAATTTGGAAATATCTCAAAGATGCCCTTGCTGATGACCCCAAAATTCCACTTCTCCAGAAAATCACACCACATGCATGAAAGAGACAAGCATAGGACTTGTTTATAATAGTAAAACGCTGAAAACAGATTAAATGTTCACAAGCACAAGATGGATAAGTGAGTTGTGGTGTAGTCATATTGAAATATAATATAGCAATTAAAATGAATGAACTAGAGCTACACGTATCAATATGGGTGAGTCTCAAAAACACTGCTGAGGAAAAAAAAGGATGTTAAAGAAAACATGCAGATCACATTTGCTTAAAATTTGAAAACATGCAAAACAATTCTATGCTGTTTATGGGAAGAATCACATGTAGTAATATAAAAACATGCTGGGAAGGATAAACACCAAATTCAGGATGGTGCTTACTTTGGGGGAGAAAGTAAAGAAAATGAGATTAAGGGAGGTCTGTACTTCTACTCAGGAGACTTCAGTTGTATCTGTAATTGTTTGTTTAAAATAAAAAAAACCTGAAATGCATACGGCTAAATCAAAGCTAGGTGTTAGGTACATGTATGTTCTATATATTATTTGCTATACTTTCATGGATCCTTCAAATTATTTCATAATTTTAAAAAAAGGTATAGTAGATTTATATGTATTATTGAGGAATTATATCCAAGCTGTATTTTATTTTTTACATTTTAATTTTTATCAAAGTAGTACTTACTACTATGAAAATACAATTTTCAGCTAAACCAAATGAGATACTATGATCATATTTACTTTTTTTTTTTTTTTTTGCGGTACGCGCGCGGGCCTCTCTTTGTTGTGGCCTCTCCCATTGCGGAGTGCAGGCTCAGCGGCATGGGCCCAGCCGCTCCGTGGCATGTGGGATCTTCCCGGACCGGGGCACGAACCCGTGTCCCCTGCATTGGCAGGCAGACTCTCAACCACTGCGCCACCAGGGAAGCCCCATATTTACTTTTATGTATAACTTTTACTTTCCTGGAATTAATTATTACCTCTTAATTCCCGAATTTTCTGCCAGAGCTATAAAATTATTCTCAATACAGTTAAACACTTCAGGTAATGTATCAGTTCTCTTTTGTGTGTGTGTGTGTGTGTGTGCACGTGCGTTTTGAGTTATCCCTCCTGGGGCCTCTGCCCTCCTGCTACAGACTGGACAGATTGCTCTCAGCTTGCTGCACAGCAGGCATCCAGCAGCTTCCTTTCAGCAGGAAATTCACTTCACTTCTCTGCTTTGTTAAAGCCCCATCCTCCTTTTTCCTGGTTTACTCACTCATTTTAATGAATCACATATCGTATTCCAACAGATCCCCAATAAGAGAACTTCGGCGGTACGTTTTAAAGATTTTGCATGTATTTTTATTCTAGTCTCCCACTTGATTTATAGTTTATTTGGTTAGAGACTTCTCAACTGGAAACTGGATCAATTGTATTCCTTCAAAATTTTTAAGCACTGCTCCATTATCTTTTGGCTACCAGTGTCATTGTTAGAAAGGCTGATAATAATGGTAACCAGCATTTACTGAGGATTTGGTATGTAATACTGAATAGTAAGAGAGCGATAGTTTAAAGATTGAGAGTATATAGCCTTTTGCTCTGGACTACCTGGGTTTGGTTCTTTTTTATACTTTCTGTTTTTCTCAGTTGAGATTTCCCATCTTTTCATTCATTACAAGTGTATTTTTCTTCACTTCACTAAGGTAAATATAAAATTATAATATCTACTTTACAATTCTTGCCTGGTCATTTCAACATCTGGCTGTCTTGGAGTTGACATGTCTCACTTGCCTGAGTGTCTATGTCAAGTAATCTTTGGACTGTACCCTGGACATTGTGATGTTATATTGCAGAGATTGGATTCTGTTAGATTGCTTTAAAGAGTGTTGATATTTTTCCTTTAGCAGGCAATCAACTTGGTTAGACACACCTGCAGTGGGCAGGGGCTCAGGTCTTGGATCAGTTCTTGGTCAGAAGCTGCTTTCAGTTTGCCCAATGCATGTGTGATTCAGGGTCAGGTAAAATTTTAAGCAAAGTTTAAACATGGAATTTGGGTTTTCCTCCTCTGGCTCTCCTCTTTCTGGGATTCCTCCTCAATTACTGTCAGCCTGGTTCTTCTTGCCAGAAACATGGTGGGCCTTCTGTTAGCTTCAGCTGCCTTCCCCTGACCTGCTGCTGCCACTGTTAGGTGACTGTAGCCATCCTCAGGGCAAATCAGGAAGAAAAAAAATAGGGTGGGGGAGGGGAGGGACGGACTGCTCCAACTTTCAAATCCCCAGCTTTTTTCAGTTTGCTGAGCCCTCAAGAAGTTGTTTTCGTGTGTTTTGTCCAGAGTATATAGTTATTTGCAGGATTGGTTTGTTAGGCCCTTAACTAGATGTGAAATTCTGACTGCCTGGGTTTGAAGCCCAGTTTTGTCATTTATTAGCTTTGTGCCTTGGACAAATTAACTTCTCCATGCCATAGTTTCCCTATATAGCAAGTGATGGGATATTGAATATGACATTAAGCTAAAATACAAAGAAATTAAGTGACCAAAACCTGTTAGGGTAACCACTGTGCTTTACTGCCTCCCAATCTACTGTATTCCCAATCCATTGTTGTTTTTGTTTTGTTTCTCTTATTCTTGCTGTTTGAAAAATTCACGATGATGAACCATGATATGGATTTCTTTTTGCATTCATTGTGCTGGGCACTCAGCAGTTATCTTCAATCTAGAATTGCATGTGCTTTACTTCCAAGAAGCTTTATTATTTCTTTGATAACTTCTTCCCCTCCATTTTCTTTGTTTGCTCTTTTTATAACATCCAATAAGTGGAATTGGTCTTCTAATTTTTCAAAAACTTTTTGCCTATCTTTCATCTCTTCATCTTTCTTATTGTGCTTTCTAAGAGATTCCCTTACCTTTTATCTTCTAATCCCTCTGTTGAGTTTTTATTTCTGCAGTTCTATTTTAACTTTTAATCTCCATTTATAAAGAATACTTCCTTTTTATATTCTCTCCTGTTCTTGTTTCAGGGCTATTTGTCCTTGCAGTGTTTTTATTTTGTATATAATATTTTATCTAAAGATATAACTTTAAGTTTACTTCTGCTCCCTACATTATTTCCTCCAATTTATTTTTGTTTATTTGTCTTATTTTTGTTTCATATTTTACATAAAAGTCTCTTTCACGTAAGAGACTTTGCTCAAATCTCTGGTGTTCATATTTAAGTGTCAGGTGCTAAAAAAACTGTGTGTGCCACGGTGGGCTGGGATGCAGCCATTCATGGGGGGATTCTCATATATCAATATCTGTAGGGTTTTTCCCTTGGGCTTATCCATTTCCCTAGAGAAGAATCTTCCAGATTCCTGGTTGGGGTATGAAGTTAGTGGCCAGCTTTGTGAAATACTAATAGGGAAAGGGGTTGAGGGTGCTTGTGCTCAGATCTTAGACTCACTTAATCCCCCTGCTCAGCACAGTGTCTCCACCTGCTCTCAGCTGTGCTGGAAATCCTGGAATTCAGTTCCTCTTCATTCAGCCCCTGAAACCTCCCATCTTCTGCTGGGTACCTGGAGGTATAGCTGATTCTCTTATAAATTTACCACCAGTCAACTTGGTTCAAACTCATCCCACTTTAGGGGTACCTTGTGTCCCCCGGCTTGTCATTGGAACATATCACCTTGCTTTCTATTTCTTCTTCCCTCCTTTCCTCCCAGGGCTGGTGTAGGTTTGTCGGTTCTGTTAAGTCAGTTACATCTTACCTCTCTCCTTTTCCAGCTTTCACAATTTTGTTATCTCCTGTCTGTATTCATATCCTCTCCTATTCTCTTTACCCTTGTGGGTTTATCCTTTTTTAAAATTCCTTTACTTTCATTTTACTGGACTCTTGTGTTCAATCAGTTATATTTAACTAGAAGATACTCCCAAAGAATTTTACTAAATTGCTCTCATGCATGTAAAAACAGGGATGGAAAGTGGAATATGTAAATAAATGTATATTGTGTGTGTGTGCATGCGTGTATGTGTGGAGAGAAAGAGGGACTGAGACATAGAAACTCAGCTGGTGAGAGGAACTAGGAGGCCAGGCTCAGCAGTTGTAACTTTTTATTGCTTATTCTTTTATACTGTTTTGTTTTTTTTTTAACTCAAAAAACATTTTTAAAGGTAAGTTAAGAAAAAAAAAATTCAGAGGTCCTTTGCATGTTCTTCACTCATCAGACCTTTCAAACTTGAGCTGTTCCTGTGCGCCATGAAGCCAAATGCACTGGAAAGAAAACTTGGATTGCGTGTCTTTGGGTGGTGGTGGGGTTAGGGGATAGAGGATGCTGAAGAATCTGTTCAGGGGATGGTAGCCAGCTCTTCACTCAGCACTCTGCTGTGATCTCCCGGGATCTTGGGCCTCTCTGAAAAGGGCCTCTGAGTTCCCAAGGCCTCTCCTTTAACGAGAGGTACCTGGAAGACAGGAGGTGTTACAGGTTCCTTTCTCTTCTACGCGGAAGTTGGATTAAGTGCTCATCTACCTGTGCACCTGTCAGGATTTGTGAGGCAGACACACCTGTAGGGAGTGTGACTCTATGTACATACCTGTAGATCATTGGAAGTAAAATTCTATGTTATATGAAAATATACTGAAAAGAAAATCTCTTATTTCACAGATAAAACATGTTTATTATAAACAAGCAAAAAGAAAATCTAACTGCTTGTAATCCACCACTAACCGCTCATTTGCTGTATATGTTTCCGGAATTCCAGAAAAATCATGCAGTATATTATCATTTTATAACTTTTTCATGTAATGTATTTGGAACATTTTTAAGTATACTTCTGTAGCATTATTTTAAATGACTGTAGTGTTCTGTTATACGGATATACCATAATTTATATAACGAGTCCCTTACTGTTGAGCTTCTGAGTTGTTTCTGATATTTCACTGTTATAAATGGGAATACAGTAAACATTCTTACAATCTGACTTTTGAACACATTTCTTACTTACTTTATAAGATTAATTCCTAGAAATGACCCTATATTGCTGAGCCAAAGATTACTCATGTTTTTATGACTAGAAAATACACTCTTAAATATATAGTCTAATCCCAAATAATTACTATGATAATAAAGTAATTTGAAAATGTAGGAAATTGTAATTTAAAAAAATAAGTTTACTTTGAATGGTTATAAAGGTATGTATTTTCACTATAGAAACTTTTTGAAAATACAGAAAAATAAAGAGGAAAAATATCAGCAATAGACCTGTACTGAAAGATAACCAGAATTAGCAGTTATTTTTCAATTTTATTTTAACCTGATGGTTATATCACTATACGTATGATTTTATAACTTTTTCCAAAAAGTAATGATTTGAGGTACTGTGTTAGTTACATTAGTAGACTATGTCTGAGTTTCCTTTTTTTTTTTTTTTTTTTGAGGAAAAGGCATTTCTAAAAGTTAATTAGCATCTTTCCATTCATAGTTGCAATGTTGTTTGTTTTTTTAATAGAAATATAGTTGGTTTATAATGTGTTAATTTCTGGTGTACAACAAAGTGATTCAGTCTTATATATATATTCTTTTCCATTATAGTTTATTACATGATATTGAATATAGTTACAGCTATTGAGTATAGTTACAGCTATCGAATATAGTTGCATTAAACTAAGCAAACTCATCCTTTGCCATCCAGGGTGGTCCTGCACTTGTGCTCGTTGGTTGACACTCAGTCTGCTTTTCTCAATCTCCTTCCAGGTGTCAGAATTGGGAAGGTGGAATTGGCGGGGTGCCAGGGATGGAAGCCCACGGTGGCTATACTTTCTGTGGCCTGGCCGCACTGGTCATCCTCAAGAAGGAACGCTTCTTGAACTTGAAGAGCTTATTAGTAAGTACTTGGTGATCCGTCTTCCTCTCAGGCCCTGAGATGTGACTGCTCAGGCATGCCGGCTGAAGGGACGGTTGGCTGTGGGAAGGGCTAACAGTTCCTGCCTGGAGCTGTGAACTAACAGTCCTGTAACGAAGCTTCAGATGCAGTTGTTGGAGTGCTCAGCACTGTACCAAGAAAGTGCAAGGGGTGAACATCTGTGCTTGGTTTCAGTTCCCTTCTTCCTGCCTTTCCATCTTCCTGCTCTGAACTTTCTGTACAGTGTGTTAGGCCAATTCCAGAGGCTTCTTGAATCCCTCAGACATCTGGTATGGGCCAGAGTACCTTCCTCCTACTTCAAAGAGAAGTATAGCTTCAGCCTCTTAAAATTAGAGGTTATCATGTGCCTTGGAAAGATTCTCCTGGGAGAAGAAGTTATGAGAAGAGTTTTGAGGCATTTTGAAGCCGAGCTTTTATTACCTGCTGCACTATGTGAACGTTTAGTAACTACCTTGACATGAGCTAGGCACAGCCGGGTAATGCACAGAGCAGGTGGCCCAGGCATTTATGTCTCAACTCCAAGCTCCTGCCCAATATTCAGAATGAACTCAGAGCACAGTCAGCTTCAGGGACTTGTTAGATTATAGCTAAATTATCATTGGAGGCCTAGTACATAAACACACACACACACAGAGCCACGAAGGAGCTATCTTTGGGGAAGCATTTATTCCCTCACCATGACCTCAAAGCAAACCAGCTGCCACTGATACTCATCTCCTCTCCCCAAGTTCAGATGTCAGGTTCCCATCATAGGAACCATTGTGAGACCCATCTTGAGCTTCCAAGACAGTTTCTATTATATCTATAAGATGTGACCAGCAGCATTTTGTCCGCACCTTTAGGAAGCCTCCTATAGCATACTCTTCCTGAAGGTTCTTACAGCCTTGAAGGTTTATGCCAAAATGGCCAACTTTGTGCCCAGATTTCGAGTTTATCAGACATTTTGAAAACTGATCACCAACAAGGCGTGAAACATAAAAGCTCCATTTCCCAGGCAGAAACAAGGAATAAGTAGATGCCTCAGTTACAATAACAGCGTTCTGGATTTGAACCCTGTCTGTGCCACTTCACAGCCATATGACCTTGGGAAAATGGTCTAATCTCTTTTAACTTCATTTTTTTTCCTCTGTAAGGTAGAAGTAACAGTTCTTTGAAGGTCAAAGGAGAGAACAGGTATAAACAGCCTGGTACATAGTAGGTGCGACCTTCTTATCCAAACTACTCCCTCCCCTCTGTTTGCTCTGGGAGAACTAGGACCCATACTTGAAGGATTTTATGAATTCATATAGGCAAGGGAAACAGAATAAATTCATGGACTTAGGCACTGGAAAAAAATAATTAGTCTAGGTTAGAAACACTTCATCTGTGGGGTAAGTAAAAGTGAAGAATGGACTCCCTACTGTAGTGCCCGTTTTCCTGAGTAATGCTTTGCCTGCTTTCATTAAATGGCATCAATCCTAAAGCGCTGGTTCATTTAAGACTGACTGGGGATATGTTAGTGCCTGCACCTGCAGTGCAGTTTTTCTGTGTCTTTTTAAGAATTTTGGATTGTGACTCTCTGTGGGTGGGTGTTACTTTGAACAGGGATATAACCTAAAGTCTACAATTATTAATTAAAGGAGGGCTGGACTCCTTCTGAAGAGGGTCCTTAGTGACTCCTTTCAGGAACTCAGTCTAGTAAGAACGTAGGTACAGGGGAAATGCCATACTCTGTACCTTTCAGTTTGGTGAGGCTGCCCCGTGAGTCGCTGGCAGGTGGCTGGAACTGCCTTGGGGGGCTGGGAGGGAAGTGGAGATATTATCTGCTCGGCCAGTTGGTTCTACTCATTCCTTGAGGCCAAACCCTTCACTATCTCCATATTCATAGTAGAGTGTGTTTAGAAAACTTGGAGATAAGCATGCATCTCGTGTGACCACTGAGTGACACCAAGAGCCATCCTACAGGTTCAAAGTAAACTCTTTTCTTCTGTCAGCCAGCCAGCTTCTCCTGGGATAGCAGAGGCTAGACCACACAGAGCCATCCTCATTCACCAGGGCTAACGGCTTCTGCCCCCAGTCCTGCGAGGGACAAGGGCCATGCTAAGAAATCTTGGATGAATTTCCTCAGGTGCCAAGTAAAAGCCAAGAGTAGTTTGAGATCAGCTGATGACTTGTAGCACAAAATTCCATTTATCTGCTTTTAATAAACTTCCCTGAGCAGGGAAGGTGAATAGAAATGAGCCACTGGTGGTCTGGCCTTAAACTTCCTAGTTACACCTTATTTATTAAGAGATGCTTGGGCTTCCCTGGTGGTGCAGTGGTTGAGAGTCCACCTGCCGATGCAGGGGACATGGGTTCGTGCCCCGGTCTGGGAGGACCCCACGTGCCGCGGAGCGGCTGGACCCGTGAGCCATGGCCACTGAACCTGCGCGTCCAGAGCCTATGCTCCGCAACGGGAGAGACCACAACAGTTAGAGGCCCGTGTACCGCCAAAAAAAAAAAAAAAAAAAGAGATGCTTGCAGGTTTCCTTTCAGGCCAATTTGGCGCACTTGTTCTCTCAGCACCAGAACCCACTTGGAACCCGGGAAAAGGTGGTTAGTTGTCTGTTAGGCCCTGAGCAGAGATTCATGCTGGTTGCCTCAAGAGGGTTAGACTAGATGTTGCACTGTAGTGTAGTCTGTGGCAGTGAGGGTGAGGAAGTCCGAGGCCAGAGCACCAGAACTCGGGTGCCAGGAAGCCAAGAGATGGAACCCTTCTCTCCCAGATTGGCCTCTGGGGATCTGGGCTCGCTGGATTTCGGGTCTCTTTTAACCTACAGCTGCCTCCCCCTTCTCTGTCTCACGCTCAGCAATGGGTGACAAGCCGGCAGATGCGGTTTGAAGGTGGATTTCAGGGCCGCTGCAACAAGCTGGTGGATGGCTGCTACTCCTTCTGGCAGGCGGGGCTCCTGCCTCTGCTCCACCGTGCACTGCATGCCCAAGGTGAGCCCAGGGGCTGTACGCAGGATTGGGTGACTCCCCTCAGCTGCTGACCGAGTCGGAGGCCAGGGCGCTCTGTGAGAGGGTTGAAATAGGCTGTCTGTCCCGGATTTCGAGGTGCCCAGTGTGGACCTTCCCGCCTCAGGCTAGGATCCCGTCCCGTTGGTTTAGGGGCCGCTGCTGCTTCACTCTGGCTGTGGCTGGGGGAGGCAGGTGCCTGGCTCCACGGTGACCACCACCTCGACTCCATGTGAAGCTGCAGTTTCCGGTGCAGAACTCTCTGTGTGTCACGTCAGAACTGAAAACCCACACTATGCACGTGGTCACAGCAGTGACAGAAAGGCAGTTGCGTAAGCGGGCAGAGAACCAGAAACCCTGGAGCAAAGACCCACCATGCCTGGCTGGCTGCGTGGTTGCCGCCATTAGAAGTGTTGTATTTTAGATTCATTGAAGAATCCTGGATGCGGGTTTGTCCCCCCTGCCCCGCACCACTGGAGCGGAGAGACCTGGGTTCATCTCTATGGAGCCTCAGATGGGAGTGCAGATCCAAGCAGTGAGATAGAGAGCAAACTTCTGGGAGCCTTCCCTTTACCTCTCGACATCTCAGGCCACTGGCTGCCTCCGGAATCATCTTTTTCATTTTATGTGAGAACAGGGTGTCTTGAGGAAACCAGTGGGAGAGGGGAGGTCTGGAGGCCCTGCTGGGCGCAGATCTGGTCTTGGAATGAGATCCCTTGGCCCAGAGGGAAGCTTTTCTTTGGACTTAGTAGTTGGGTTATTCATTGCTCAAATGTAGAAGATGAGATTCTTTTCTACTGCCCCCATCCCCCACCCTGCCCCACACACGTGTTCTTCTTGTTTGGCTGTCTTTTTCTGAGCCCCTTTCTTTCATTCCTTAATTTCATTTAAGTTGTGGCCATTTTGGGTACCGAATTGAAGTCAGCAGAGCCTCTGTCCTGTCTCCCCATCGCTGTATCCTCCCCGTCGCGGTCTGTCCTGAGAATCCTTGGCCTGGAGCCCGTGGGCTTTCAGTTTCAGGGTGCTAAGATATGTCTCAGCTGAGATACGTCCCCTGACTCTGGAACCTGCACGGTCTCTGGCTGAACACTATAGTAGGGAAGTCAGAAGTCCCCCGAGAGTCCGGCGTTTCAAAACAGAAATAACTTGGGGTTTTAGTGATCTCTTTATTTGGAACTGGTGAGGTCAAGCCTCTGGGTCACACCGTCAGCCTCTCACAAACCTGTCCCTGGCAGGATTAAGATGCAGTCATTCTGCAACTGCCAGGAAAATCTAGTGAGAGCGTAACAGGAGGGCTACCTGCCAAAGTCTTCAGGGGGGCCCTGGTTCACATTTTGTTTATCATAGTGCAAGTTCTGGAGGACTAGTCACATTCAAAGCTCTGCCTGTGGGAAAAGTTAGTTGCCTGTGAATCTTGGTGCTTCCAGCTTTTTTCACTGCCTGGAAGGAGGCCCATGTTAGGCCCAAAGCTCACGCCTCAGCAAACAGTGGGCCTGGACTAGGCAGGGCTCCGGAAGACGGGAGTGTTTTGAGTGGTGGGCAAAATGCTGACGTTGAGAGTCAAAAGGAGATGCGACGTAGAACGATATTCACAATGTACTGTGATCAAAGTTAGGTTTCAAAGCAGTATGTATGTAATTCCATTTTCAGTGAAGAGTTGACTCCAAAAAATTAATGGAAGGTATCTGGGTTGTGAAATGACAGGTGATGTTTGTTTTCTTTCTTTTTTACTTCTATTTTCTAATTTTTGTACAATAATATATCTTTCTTACATAAAGGAAAACGACAAAAGTTATTTTACAAAAGAGAAATTCTATAGACAAAACTAGTAGCAAGGTGGGGAAAATATTTGGATAAATGATGAAGAGCTTAATTTCATTTGAGAAAGTCATACCAAGCAGTAGGAAACATGAACAACCCAACGGAAAAACAGGCAGAGGATTCTACTACACTGCTGCTTGTACTACAGCTGCTACAACTACTGAGACTTACCACGTGCTCACCGCAAGCCAGGGGCAGAACTGAGTATTACACATGTATTTTCTCATTTGATCCTCCAAACAGCCCTATGAAACAAATGCTATCCGGGAATTCCCTGGTGGCCTAGTAGTTAGGATTCCGGGGTTTCACTGCTGTGGCCCAGGTTCAATCCCTGGTTGGGGAACTGACATACCGCAAGCTGCATGGCCAAAAAAAAGAAAAAGAAAAAGAAACAGGTTCTATCATTATTCCCATTTTACAGGTGAGGAAACAAAGTACAGCATGGGTAAGTGACTTGCTTTATACCTGATTGCCACCTATCATGGTATCAGAGCCCTGCCATCTGTAGGTGGCCATTAATCAGACGAACAGGTGATAGTTAATGAAATGCAAATAAAAGCAGTGGGACCCTATTTGTTTTTACTGTCAGATTAGCAGAGATGAGAAAATTTGATACCCTATGTTGGGGAAAGTGTGGGAAAACAGGCACTTTTCACTGTTAGAGGGGTGTAAATAGGTGCGTCATTTTTTGGAGGGTAGTTTGGAGACATCAGTTTAAATTACTTAAACCCAGTGAGGACACTGGCAGGAATTTATCTGCACAGACATTGCAAAGGATGTGTGTTGAAGTGGAGTTTTAATAGCAAACAACCCAACTGCCCACCAAAAGGCTAACAGTTAAATAAATTATGATCTCTTCATACAGTAGCTGCATTGCAATGGGCTCACATGGAAAGCTCTCCAGGACACAACGGAAAGTGTCAAAGGCCAGGCCAGGCCGAGAACAGTCTGTCTGTGTGCACACAGGCTGGCATCCACCCAGCTTTCCTGGAAGTATACACAACTCCCCTTTAACAACGGGTACCTTTGGGAGAGGGGTAGGAGATGGGGGGAGAGAAATGTACTTTTCCTATTGTACTGTAGGCTGCTTTTTTCTTTTCTTTTCTTTTCTTTTTTTACCATGTGTGTTACTACTTTTAGTAAGTGAACAAATACATTTTTAAAAGGTGATGATGATGATCATACTGATAACTAAAAAGATGACATGGGACCGGCACACTGTAGCACATGAATCCAGGCCAATCCCTATCTCTTCCGTAGTCCATGCGGTGGCTGCCTTACGTATAGAAGACAGTATTTGAGTACAAGAACAAATTGCTATTAATATCTTTAAAATATCAAATGCTGACTAAATTAGTGAGTCAGTTTGTTTTTGTGGAGCAGTAGGATAGCAGCAGGCCTGTGAGTTTCTGTTTGGATTGATAGTTACTAGTTGCTGCCATGTTCTTTGGGATGTACCCCAGGCTTTATTTGTCCACCTGTGAAATTGAGCTACATGTGCTGTGCCTGTCAGTTACTGTTTGAAAAACTTTTGATTTCTCAGATAAAAGGAACCTTTGAAATGCAAAATGACATTATAATGGGGATCTGTATTTTAAGGGAGAGATGTAAAGGATTTAAAAGGCCGACTCCAGTGCACAGTTATCAGCCTGTAATCATATCTCCCTTCATCTCACCGTAATTATGTGTGTTGATGTGCAAATTCAAGATCTCAGGAAGTTCCTTGTCGAGTTTATGAACTTTGAGCCTTTAGACTTCAATAATATAGGGGGTAACTGAAACACTCTGTAATCTTTTTAATAATAAACAGAGCATTTTCTTTTCAGATTCCAGTTCTAGCGATAGGTTATCATTTACCTTAAGGTAACCGTCTTTTATTTCTTATAGGATATGAAGTAAAGGTATATTTTGTACAGATGTTTAATGCAGTTACCCTAAAGTTTAGTAAATATGCTTTTAAAAATAACAGCTTTGTTGAGATGTAATTCACATACTGAACAATTTACCCATTTAAAGTGTACAGTTCAGTAGTTTTTAGTGTATTCAGAGTTGTGCAACCATCACTATAATCAATTTTAGAGTTTTCATCACCGCCCGCCCAAATCCCTGTACCCACTAAATGTGCTTCTTAAAAGAAGAAATCACAAAGGAGAAAATCAACACTGTGATTACAGCATATGTGTAAACTATATTTATGCAATTAAAAAAAACCCCATATAACCAAAAAAGTAGAGCCAAAAGGGAGAAATAGGTATACCATACGATACAGATAAAGAGTAAATACAGTAAAAAGCTAGATTAATAAAATTGACTCTTGGATCTCAGAAGACAAAAGGACAGACACTCTCAAAAGGAAATAGAACTAGTAAGCAAAAGTTATGGGAACAGTTCACCCTAATTAGTAACTAGAGGCATGCACAGCAAAACAAATGATCAGGTACTGTTTCTTTTTAACATTTTAATTGCTGAGAACTTTTTTTTCAAAGTAACCAGTGCTAGAAGTAGTACAGGAAAATCTTAAATTTTGCTGGCAGCTATATAAAGTCTTAAAGCAGTTTATCAGTATCTATTAAAAGCCTTAAAAATGTTTATTCCCTTTAACTGAATCATTCCACTCCTGTGAATCTACTTGAAGAAAATAATCCTAGACATAGAGAAGATTCACAAAGATGTTTATTGCGGCATTTTTTATGATTGCAAGGAACTGGAAACAACCCTGGAAACAAGATAGAGTGAAGTCCCATCATATATGTATATATCTCCTACGGAGTCCACTGTGCTCACAGGTGGAGAAAGAACAAAGAGGAAAAGTAATTAAAATCGTGTGAGCACTTCCTTCAGTAAGCCTGTGTGCCAGGCTGAGCATGAGAGGGGGGACCTGAAAGTGCTCCTCCTTCCTTGGGCTCAGTTCCCATGTGCCTCTTCTAGTGTGAGCATCTCAGGGGCAGGGCGGGACTCGGGTGTTGAAGATGAGTGGCTTTTGCATGTGGCCCCCAAACATCAGCTGACCGTGCACCTCATCCAGTGCTCAACCCAGGAGACGGCGATCGCTTTCCAACTGCACCCATCTCTCCTCCCATCTCTCATTTAAGAAATTAAAAATGATTATTTTCTGTAGTATTCTATGTATATAAATATTCCAAAATTAACTATTTTGCCTACATATTCTCTTTATATACCACATTTACTATAAACTTTGATGAATTTTTACCACAGAAGATTCTCTGCTCATATATATGAGAGTTTGGATCCAGAGCCTGTATTGATGCCATTACCTTATGTGTCCACTTAATGAAATGCTGTAGGGCTCTTTAGAATGATGGTTATGAAGATTATGTAGCAGAACAGAAAAATGTATGCCTGTAGAGTTAAATGAAAAACGTAAGATACAAAATGATCATACCTGTATAGAAAAATGCATAGAAACACAAGAAGACTGGAAGAAAAATTAGCTTTCGGTTGTCATTTACAGATTGTTTGCTACCTTTGTAGCCCAGGTATCAAAGTATAAAATTAACCAGAGACTTAATGCACATTCTATGTGTGTATTCCCACATAAATGTTTCCGTGCACATCTATCTATTGATTATTTGTCCCTCCTCCACCCTTGATAACCGAGTGGTCCGCAGGAGTCTGACTGCTGATTAAAGTACTGCTGATTGACAGTACTTTAATATTATCACCAGAATTGTCCATTTCTGCTTGGGCTATCATATTATATGATGCAGGAGGGTGGTTATTAGAATGCTTCTTAGGGAAATTCTCTAAGTCCCTTTAGAGATAGACTGAATCCAGGCTAAGACAAGTATCAGTAGAAGAAACAGACATTATCACCCCATTAGAGTTCTCTTGGCTAACTAGAGTCTGGGTAACAAGTTTCAGAGATGCACTGGAGGAAATGTCTTAAGGAGCCCAGGGAAAGGAATTGTGAACCAAGTCAGGAGCAGTAGCAGAGGGCAGTCTGGTAAGCTGAGCTAAACAGTTTGTCTGTGCCTGCAAGGGATGTGGTTTAGGGTGGTCATCCAGGGTAAGGGGACACTTCAAGTAAAGCCAAGTGCTACTCTGACCTGCTGCTCTTTGACTCTTCAAGGTTCAGGAGAAGGGACGTGTCTCGGGACTTGGGTGAAGAAATCGAGTGTCCCAAGAATGTAGTTTTCAAGATTAGTCCAAGGAGACTAGAGGGAAACCCTGACAGTTCCTAATGGATCCTAAAGTACAAAGAAGTCATTGATCCTTTGCTGGACTTCTCCTAGGCTCCAGCCCACACTGATCCTTTGTCTTCTCTAGGTGACCCTGCCCTCAGCATGAGCCGCTGGATGTTTCATCAGCAGGCCCTGCAGGAGTACATTCTTATGTGCTGCCAGTGCCCCACCGGGGGGCTTCTGGATAAACCTGGCAAGTGAGTGCCTTGCCTCTGGGGAGGGAGGGACGGGGCGGGGAGAGAGGGCTGAGCACCTCAGGCCTACTCAGAGCCGGACGGGGTGGGCCTTTCCTTGTTGCTGCTTAGTGCACGTGTGGCATGGGAGGAAGCAGCCCAGCTGGGAGCACCCCCATCCAGTGCCATCCATCCATCCTGGCCCCTCCAGTGCTCTCCTTTTTACCCAGCTTACTTGCACCCCCTTGCCAGTTAGGTAAACAGATTGCTGTGTTGGTAGCTTTTCTTTCCTCTTTTTTATTTTTATTTATTTTTTTATAAATTTATTTATTTTATTTATTTATCTTTGCCTGTGTTGGGTCTTCGTTGCTGCGTGCAGGCTTTCTCTAGTTGTGGAGAGGGTGGCTTCCTTGTGGTGTGGTGGCTTCTCTTGTTGCGGAGCACGGGTTCTAGGTGCATGGGCTTCAGTAGTTGTGGCTCACGGGCTCTAGAGTACAGGCTCAGTAGTTGTGGCTCACGGGCTCAGTAGCTGTGGCTCACGGGCTCTAGAGCACAGGCTCAGTAGTTGTGGCACACAGGCTCAGTAGTTGTGGCTCGTGGGCTCTAGAGCACAGGCTCAGTAGTTGTGTCACACAGGCTCAGTAGTTGTGGCTCGTGGGCTCTAGAGCACAGGCTCAGTAGTTGTGGCTCGTGGGCTCTAGAGCACAGGCTCAGTACTTGTGGCATGCAGGCTCAGTAGTTGTGGCTCATGGGCTCTAGAGCACAGGCTCAGTAGTTGTGGCTCGTGGGCTCTAGAGCACAGGCTCAGTAGTTGTGGCTCACAGGCTCTAGAGCACAGGCTCAGTAGATGTGGCGCACAGGCTTAGTTGCTCCGCGGCATATAGGATCTTCCTGGACCAGGGCTCAAACCCATGTCCCCTGCATTGGCAGGCAGAGTCTTAACCACTGCGCCACAAGGGAAGCCCCTCCTCTTATTTAACCAAACTGATTTAAATAGAAGAGGATACAGGATTTTAAAACTCCTGAGTGTCATAAACAGAGATTATAATCAAGGCGACTATTACCGAGTAGATTCAATACCTTTAGGTGCCAAAAGGGAAACCAGTCAAGTCCTGTTGCCTTTGCTGCTCACTCCCCACTCCCCCAGCACACACACACCCTGCTACCTCTGCATCCTGGTCCAGCTGAAGGCCAGTCCCCAGCAATTTATCGGGAAGAATTTGGCCCATTCCTAGAAATTTTGTTGTGGGATTTTTTTTTTTTAAACTATATTAATTTAGCCAGCACTACCCTGGAGAGCCCTTTCCGGAAGACAGTTGACAGGACTGACTGTAAGGTTACAGTTCCTGCTATCAAGCAGGGCGGAAGGATGGGGCTCTGAAAAATGCTGCTGGGGGAAGCCAGGCTTCGAGTTTCGTGGAGGGTGGGATGGGATGCGTGAGTGCTCCCTGGGCCTCTTCGTCTGTGCGGTGGCCTTGTCAGAGGCTGTGCTGGGGCCGGTGGGGAGCAGAGGACACCTGCTAAGAGTCGCCCCGTCCTTCCAGGTCCCGGGACTTCTACCACACCTGCTACTGCCTGAGCGGCCTGTCCATAGCCCAGCACTTCGGCAGTGGAGCCATGTTGCACGATGTGGTCCTGGGTGTGCCTGAAAATGCCCTGGTAAGATGGGATGGGGGGCTTACCACTGCTTCTCCACGGGGCCCCCAGGATGGGGCTGGCAGGAGAGCAGAGCACCCGCTCTTGGCCTGCCGAACCGGCTGCACGAGGACATAGACAGGCTGGTGAACTCACCGTCCCCACCCTCTGTCTGCAGCTCATTCTCCGTTCGTGAGCATCTGGCTGGCAAACTCGAGGTTCCAGGCGAGGGTCCAAACTGTGACAGAGGGTTTGTGCCTTTGACCCACAGCCTAGGACCCAGACCGCTTGTCATTAGTTCCCATCTCCCAGGAAGCTGGCTCAGAGGTAGCGAGTTTCTGCATCTGTAGCCAGCAGCCCTCCCCATGTGGCTGACTGTCTTCTGGAGCTCTCAGCTTGCAGCCATCCCTCTGGAGAAGCCCTCTCAGACCACCTTCTGTAAATGAGATGACCCAAAACACTCTGCCAGGGCCTGGTTTGTGCCCTTCATAGCACCAGCACGATTTGTCATGTGTGTGTTTAACTGGGTTTTATCTGCTTCCCTCAAAAACTGTCAGCCCCGTGCGGGCGAGCTGTTCACCACTGCATCCAGTCCCAGGCCAGCCTGGCTGCAGGAGATGCTTGTGAGCCTAGTCACGATCCTGAGACTCAACTCCGGCTGAGATTGTCTGCGGCTGTCAGATGATGGGGCCTGTGCAGATTGTCATGAAATATTCCAAGAGAAGAAACACAAATGGCCAGTAGGTGGATGAAAAGATGCTCAGCCTCACTAGTAATTGAGAAAATCCAAGTAACAACCCTTCAGCTGTTTCAAGTATTTGCCTCCTATGCAACCCTCTTCCGTTCTTTTCCCTCCCTCCTTCCTCAGCGTAACCCCATCCTAAATTTGACATTTATCATGCCTGCAAATATTTTTGTGCTGTTACTACATAGGTATGTATCCACGAACTCTATAGAGAGTTGTTTTGTATGTTTTCAAATGTTTTTTTTTTGTTTGTTTTTTGCGGTACGCGGGCCTCTTACTGTTGTGGCCTCTCCCGTTGCGGAGCACAGGCTCCGGACGCGCAGGCTCAGCGGTCATGGCTCACGGGCCCAGCCGCTCCGCGGCATGTGGGATCCCCCCGGACCAGGGCACGAACCCGTGTCCCCTGCATCGGCAGGCAGACTTTCAACCACTGCGCCATCAGGGAAGCCCTCAAATATTTTATAACAGTATCTACCCCACCATTTATTCTGCATCACTTTCTCACCGACCATTACCCTTTTGCGGCTTAGTCGTCTTCATATGTGTTGCTCTAGTTTATTCATCTTAACTGCTGTACGGTATTCCCTTGTCTAAGTGTCATCTTCACTCCTGTACGGCATCCCCTTGTCTAAGTGTCATCTTCACTCCTGTGCGGTATCCCCTTGTCTAAGTGTCATCTTCACTCCTGTACGGTATTCCCTTGCCTAAGTGTCATCTTCACTCCTGTACGGTATCCCCTTGTCTAAGTGTCATCTTCACTCCTGTACGGTATCCCCTTGTCTGAGTGTCATCTTCACTCCTGTACGGCATCCCCTTGTCTGAGTGTCATCTTCACTCCTGTACGGTATCCCCTTGTCTAAGTGTCATCTTCACTCCTGTACGGTATTCCCTTGCCTAAGTGTACCACAGTTTAATTTTCTAGTCTCCTGTTGGTTAACACTGAGATGGTTTCAGATTGTGCTATTACACAAGGTGTTGCAGTGAACATTCTCGAGTTACAGTTTCTGAGAGAGATACACCTTCATCCTCACCAGATGGCCCTGAACCTCGCCCCTGTGTGCTTGGGTTATTTAATGCTCACATGGCACCAAGATGAGTTGCTCCATAGTCAGACTTTTCCTTTTTGCCAACTTGGCAGATGTGAACTGGTGTCTCAGTTTTGTTCTGCATTTCCCTGATTACTGGTGAGGCTGAGCATCTTTTCAAACGTTTGTTGGCCATTTGTGTTATGTCTTCTGTGAATTGCCAGCCAGCTCCTATCCTTTGCTCATTTTCGTATTGATTTGTAATTTTGTTTGCTCTTTTCTTATGTAGTAGGAGTTCTTTGTGTGTTCTTGATACTAATCCTTTGTCAGTGGTGTGTGTGTGGTGAATCTCTTCCAGTTTGTGACTTGTCTTTTCACTTTGTTTTTAGTGTTTTTGTTGAATAGAAGATTTTAATTCTAAAGTGAATAATTTTATTTGCCTTTTCAGTTTTTGAGGGTTTTTTTTTGGGGGGGGTGCGTTACTTAAATCTTTTCCTACCCTTAAGAAATCTTTTCCTACCCTGAGGTCATAAATATATTTTCTTCTAAACAATTTAAAGTTTTGCTTATCCCATGTAATTTTTTAATTCTCTTGGAATTGATTTCCGTCTATAGTGAAGGTGGGATATAATTTTATCTTTTTCCCATTTTGGTTAACCAATTGACCAGCACCATTTATTGAAGTTTACAGCCTTTCCTATTGATGTGTATCACATGTGTCACATACTCAAGTTTCCGTATATGAGGTGACTGTTTCTGGACACACTGTTCCATTGGTCTGTTATCTTTGCTGTCTTAAGCAAATCTTAAATGCAGGTAAGCAAGTCTCACCTACCCACCTCATTCTTTTTCTTCAAAACTGCTTTGGATATTCTTTGCCTTCTGCATTTTAGGATTTCCTGTGCATTTTAGGATCAGCTTATCAAGTAACACACACAAAAAAAACTAGTGGAATTTTTATTAGAATTACATTGAATGTAAGATTAATGGGAGGGAACTGACTTTAACATTCAGGCTTCCCATTTATAAACACAATTCTTCAGATTTTTTACATTTCTTTTAATGGTCTTTTATCATTTTCTCCATAAAGGACTAGTACATCTTCTGTTAGAGTTAACGTCTAAGAAATTTATAGTTTTTGTGTCTATTGTGACTGGAATATTTTTTTCCATTTTATTTTGTAATTTGTTGTTACTAATGTATAGAAATGCTATTGATAATTATAGTTTAATTTTGCACCCAGCAGCCTTGCTGAATTCTTTTTTTTTTTGGCTGCTCCGCATAGCTTGCGGGATCTTAGTTCCCTGACCAGGGATTGAACCTGGCCCCCTGCAGTGGAAGTGTGGAGTCCTAACCACTGGACCGCCAGGGAATTCCCTCTGAATTCTCTTGATAGTTGTAAAAGTTTGTCTATAGAATCTCTTGGATTTCTTATTTAGAATGTAATGTCATCTTCAAGTAAGGAGTTTTGCTTTTTCCTTCCTGATTCTTAAGAATTTTCTTTCCTTTTTTTCTTTTGCGGTATGTATCCACGAACTATATAGAGAGTTGTTTTGTATGTTTTCAAATGTTTTTTTTTTTTTTTTTTTTTTTTTTTTTGCGGTTTGCGGGCCTCTCACTTTTGTGGCCTCTCCCGTTGCGGAGCACAGGCTCCAGACGCGCAGGCTCAGCGGCCATGGCTCACGGGCCCAGCCGCTCCGCGGCATGTGGGATCTTCCCGGACCGGGCACGAACCCGCATCCCCTGCATCGGCAGGCAGACTCTCAACCACTGTGCCACCAGGGAAGCCCAAGAATTTTCTTTCTTTTCTTGCCTTGTAATGTTGGCTAAAACCCTCATGGAGTGTTGACTGGAGGTGGTAATAGAAAGTGTTCTGATTGTAATGGGAAGGTTTCTGTAATTCCATCATTAAGGAGGATGCTTACTGTGAGGTTTTGGTAAACATTTCATATCAGGTTAAGGATGTTCCCCTCTGTTCCTGGTCTACTGGGTTGTTTTTTTGTTTTATTTCAGTCATAATCTAGTGTTAAATTTTATTGAATGCTTTTTCCTCATCTGGCTTTTCTCCTTTAATCTGATGTTGTGTTTTGTTAATACATATTCTGATGTGACCTTGACGTTACAGGATAAGCCCTGCTTGGTGATAACAGAGTGTGGGGGGTGTATGTGCTGTTCTAACACCTGCTGGATTCACTCTGCTGGTATTTTTGGCTCGTATTTTTATTTAGGATTTTTTGCATGTGTGTTCATGAGAAAGAATGATCGAAAATTTTGTTTTATTGTATTCTTTTCCAGTTTGTGTTTCAGGATAATATAACCTCATAAAATTAGACAGGTGTCTTCCTACTCTACTTCTTCTTTGGAAAAGTTTGTAGAAGTTAGAGATTATCTTGTGAGCTAACACTTGCTTGAGAAACCATGTAGGCCTGGTATTTTTGGGGGGAATGGTGGTAGCAGAAAAAACAATTGTTATTGATTTAACTTATTCCTATAGGTTTTAAAGAATTTCTTCTTGAGCAATTTTGAAAATTCGTATTGTTCTATAAAACTATTCAGTTTATCTGAATTTTTATGTTTTCGCATGAAGTTGCTCATAGTATTTTCTTAAAATTTTTTAAATCTCTTGCAATTATGTCCCCTTCTTCATTGTCCTAGGGTGGAAGAATCCTGAATACTGGCCTAGGATTGTGCCCTGTCTGAGACCAAAGTTTATTTTGGGTTTCTGTGGTGCAGTGGGATAATATAAAATAATTTATATATGGCCTGACACCTTTACTTAAGTGTAACAGGGTTGTGGTCCATTTTCTTGATTATAAATATAGATGCATGTTCATTGTTTTAATAATTGGAATATATATAAAAGTATAAATAAGAAAATTTAAAACAGTCATGTCATGGTTCCTGTTTTGGCATATGTCCATTTTTTGCCTATTTATATAACTCACATCTATCAACACTTTAAAAAGTAAGTTTGGAATAATATCACGCATACTGTTTTCCTCACCTTAATATAAGTATTTGCCAATATCGTAAAATGTTTGAAAGCATGTTTTTTAATGGCTCTATAATGTTCCTTTGTGTCCCACATACTGTAACATGTTTTTACCAATACCCTGTTGTTGAACATTAGGGCCTTGTGAGATCCTAGTGCATCTCTGATGATTCCCTATGTTACATTTTTACAAGTGCATTTAATGGGCAGAGGCTGTGCACATTTCCAGGGACCACTGGGGTGATTAATTGGCATCTGTTCTTCTCTTTGCAGCAGCCCACTCACCCTGTGTACAATATTGGACCAGATAAGGTGATCCAGGCCACCATGCACTTTCTGCAAAAGCCAGTTCCAGGCTTCGAGGAGCATCAGGATGAGGCAACAGCAGAGCCTGCCACTGACTAGAAGACATGGTGTCCCGCAGCTCTGTGTTCACCCACCTCCCCAGTCAGACCAAGGTTTATACGTTTCGATACATACTGCATTCTGTGCTGCACAAGCCTTGGCCGCTGTGAAGCTTGGTTCTCTGTCCTTTCTTGTTAAACAAAACAAAACTGATGGCTCTGTGTTTAGAGAACACAGTGGTGTGGTTTTTAAAAAATTCTTTCCACTCCTGTCCAACCAAAAATCTTCAGCCACGCGGCATCTGAACCCGCCCTGGCCTGGCCAGGGTTGGTTGGAGAACATGCAGCTCTCCAGTGCGACCGTCGCATCGAAGTGAATGATGTTTATGAGTGTTACGGCATCTGGAGTTGCTGCTGCGATTCCTCTTTGTGCCACCGTTAAGTCACCGGGAAGGTGGCCTCCGTGGGTGGAAATAAGTCTGCTCCATGCCTAGGCAGGGGCTTTGGGTCCCACCAAAATGAATTCTCCAGGAAAAGACATGGTGGTACTTCACTCAGAGGTGCCCGAGGCGCTCACCTCCCAGCCTGGTTACTTGCAAGGGGAAGGAGCTGGGGTGGGAGGAGAAAGGTCTCGGGAGGTGTGAGTCCCTCCCTGGCCACACTGGGCGCTGACCACACATCTCCAAGGCCGGGCTGGGCAGGCGCATGGGCAGGATTTGCTTTAGCCCCACTTGTGGTGACTCAGACCCGGAAAGCCAATTATGAGTGGAAAATGAACCTCTAGTTCAACTCTGTGCCAGAGGAAGCAGCCCCAGAGCGCCGCCCCCCACCCCACTCAGCCCCCGCCCAGGTGCCCTGAAAAGGCCCTCTGAGGACCGCAAGGCAGCACCTTCAGCCTGTGGCCAGTCTGTTTCCATCTGTCTTCCACCGACTCCCAGCCCACCCTCCTCAAAGACGGTGTTGTCTTTTCTCACCCCAATTATTAACACTACTAAGAAGGACTTTCACCTTAATTTCTGACTCAGGATTTATTCACATCCTGCCCACTCCAGGCTCAGAGAAATAAAGCCAAGCACTAGATAAGCTGGGTGCTGCTGAGGCAGTAGCCGCGTAAACCTGGCCGGGGCAGGGCTGAGCGCTGCCTGCTGTGTTCAGCCTGGCAGGGCCTCTGCTGCCCTCACAGAAGAACCCTTTCTCAGTCAGTGGGGTCTTGAGGAGTTGGCTCACTTGTCCACTGCTACGGTCACAGCAAGCTCCAAGTCGCCGGTCTGGCCTTTCCATAAGCAGCCATGGGCTGTGGGCAGATGGGGGCCTGGAGATGCAGCATAAGGCTCTTCTCAAAAACTCTGGCCATCTGCTGCCTCTAATTCCCTAGTGCTTTGGTGTATTGGGCTATGTATTACCTCCTTGAAATAGTAAAAGAATAACCTTTTCTATGATGTCTCTCATTTGTGACTGGTACCAAGAAAATTCCTTCCGAGTGCCCAGCGTTCGGAGTTCTGCAGCTTGCTCGTGGGTCGCCAGTCTCCTCCTGTGTGCGACTGCAGGCTGGGCGAGTCGGTAGTTACGAAGAGGTCTGACTTACCTTCCTCCCTCACATCCCTTTCTCCAGTCGAGGACAAGGAGGGGAAAAGCGCGCTGGAGCACTTCCGTTTGTCCCAGCACTCCACACACAGTTTCAGGGTCTGGGAGTCTGTCTCCTCCACCTGGCTACGAGCAGGGACTGCGCTCCAGAGCCCTCACGCAGGCACTCAGCAGCAGGTGGGGTGGGTGACGTCAGGGACGGGTTGGAATCCTGTGTCACCCGGCGTTCCTCGTCTGGGCAGAGACCCTCTCCCAGGGAGAAGCCAAGAAGGCGGGTGCTCTGTGGCCTGCCCCTCCTTGACAGGAGAGGAGAGGGTACCCTCAGAGGTGGAGCATGAGCCAGAGCCACGTCCTGGAATGTAATTCCTGCGCCCATGCTGTTTTTTGCTGGGATAACAAAAGTTCAGGCGACAAAGCAACATATTGAAATGCACCCTTCCCATCGCTACAACAAAAAGCCAGACCCTCTACCACCACTAGCCTCAAGGTATTACGAGATTAATTGCAGTGATAATTGGTGTGGTTAAGAGACAGAAGGGATTGCTTCAGTCTGAACTGGCTTTATACCAAGGAGGGAGGATTTGAGGTGGGCCCCAAAGGGTAGGGGAGTTTACACTGGCATATCCATGAGACTTCTCTCTGCTCCCATTCGGGTCTGGAGGGTTTCCCAACTTAAAGAGCATTCAAAGTGGGTCCTGCAGGTAGATTCTCAGATTATCATGTGGATCCTTAAGTCGGAGGCACTTACATAGCATTCAAGGTAGGTTGCCCCAAATAAATATTCCCCCTATCAATAAAGAAATATAAGCCGGCTACAGATCTCTATATCCAGATGGGCCCCAACGTCCCCCTTGGAACTGTCTTGGACCCACCTTGAATGCTGTGTAAGTTGGGAAGCCTTCCAGACCCTACGGTGAGCAGAAGGGGGACCTCGTGGATAAGCCAGCGTGGACTTGCCTGAGATAACAATACCAGTCAACAGTATTCCTAAACTGCCCTCTGTTCGTGGTGTCGTTTCTGAGTTAGAAGCCACTAGTTAGATTCTGGCCACTGGGTTGTGACAATGCAGGAGTGTCCTTGAGGAAGCCACTTCTCAGGAAGACCTCACACAAAAGCAGAGGCCATAATATTAAATAACAGTTCCACGACGTCCTGCCATGGAGGACTAGCCTTAGATTTTGGTACGTGGCCTCCTGGTGATTTAACGTGGCAGAGAGATGGCGTTTAGAAGCCCCCGGCAGGGTGCTTGCTTACGTGACCCTGGCTATTTCACCGCTATTAACTATGCTGTGCTTCTGGCGGGAGCTTGATAGCCGGACACTAAACATGGAGCTTCCTGAGTGCACTACGTTGTTGGTAGAAGTGGAATCCATTGGCATCAGAAGTCAGAGATGTACAGATAACAATGCTGACATTCCATTATGAAAGCAAAAGAACTTGTCTCTTCTTCCCACCATGTTTACATTGATCCCACCTCCTTACGGAAGAGGGTCACTGGGCTACGTGCAGGAAATAGCCAGTAGCTTCAGCATCCCGAGTCAGAGGAAAGGGTAATGGCTGGGGTGGGAAATGACTGTTCTTAGGCCTGCAGGCTTCCTAGACCCTCTGTGGCCAGGGCTACTAAGATACAGGCACTGCAGAGACCAAATCTTAACAAAGACATAGGATGTCTCGTTCACCGTCTGGGATAAGTTCGGTACAATGAAAGTCTGCTCTCCTAACGCTGATAATAGGGCTTGATGTTAATACAAGGATACGGAGGTCTATGATGGAGGGCTGTTCAGTGTTGCTTTCATTTGGGGACGCAGGTATTCATTTTGGGGAAGTATTTTGCTAATATTTTGTTCTTCCACGATTTGCACCAGGGGGCAGCAAACTTTCTCTGTAAAGGGCCAAATTACTAAATATTTTAGGCTTTGCAAGCAACTACTCAACTCTGCTTTACCACTGTAGTACAAAACAGCTGCAGACAAAGCATGGCTATGCTCCAATAAAACTTTATGAAAACATGGTGGGCCAGATTTGGTCCATGGGCTGTAGTTTGCCTACCCTGATCTAGACTAAGTCCCATCCATATTCATTTAGCATTCTTCTGCATCTTTTCATGGCTGGGATGCTTTCCAGGTACATAATATTAGTGTTAAATGACAAAATGTACTTGGTAAAGTTCGGCCCAAACATTTTTTGTTGTTGTTGGTTTTTTTTTGGGGGGGGCGGTACGCAGGCCTCTCACTGTTGTGGTCTCTCCCGTTGCGGAGCACAGGCTCCGGACGCACAGGCTCAGCGGCCATGGCTCACGGGCCCAGCCGCTCCGCGGCATGTGGGATCTTCCTGGACCGGGGCACGAACCCGTGTCCCCTGCATCGGCAGGCGGACTCTCAACCACTGCGCCACCAGGGAAGCCCCTGGCCCAAACATTTTAGCCATCCACATGCACTGCTCAGGGCATTCATTGCCCTTGAACGGGAAGGAGAATTGTATGATTTAAGGAATTGTTGCAACTGACAGAAAACCTGACCCAAACAGGCTTAAAGCAAAGAGGAGATGTGTTGATTCATAAACTGAATCGTCCAGGAAGTAGCTTGGCTTTCTGAGTGGCTTCAGTGGCTTTCTTTCCAGCTTTCTGTATCGGCTCCAGTCTCAGGCTCCCTCCATGTGGTTCTACAATGGCAGTAGCAATAGCTCCAGACCTTACATCCTCAGGGTCAAGGTGAGCAGACAAGAGCAGCTGGCGCTGTCTTCCCAGTGAGTATCATTGCGTTTCACTGACTCTGATCAAGCCAGGTGCCTTTCTGAGATGCAATCCTATGGCCGGGAGATCACAGTGCACTGATGGATCAAATGCTTCATCCACGAGTGGGAAATGGGGCTCCATCAGAAGCACATAGTCCAAAAGTGGGGAAGGAATGAAGCCCCAGTGCAAATTAGGGTTGTAGTCAAAAGGGGGAGATGGATGCTAGAGAGGCAAAATCCAATGGTGGATTCTAGAAACCTGTAGTGGACACTGTGGCATCCATTCCTCCCCTCCCCAGCTGTGGCAGCCAAAAGGCTTGTGTGGGTGTGTCCCCCCTCCTACCTCCAGGCTGGGCCCTGATTGGCCTAAACCAATCATTTTAATCCATCCCTCTGCTTGAGTAATTTGTTCAGGTTTAATAATAACCAGGCCTAAGCCAATCAGCACGGTCTGTCCTAGCCTCAGTGATTGATTCAGAGCCAAGGATGTGGCCTAAAATAGACCAAAGAGAGAGAAGCCCTGGACATTTGATGACAGGGGAAAAGCAGTTCTCTCCTATTAGTGATGGTGGAATGTGTGGCCTGGGACTCCAACCACCATTTTCCTACCTAGAAGGAAGCCAGTCCACACCGACTCCCTGAGACACCGAGAAACACGGCCAGAACCCTGTCACATGACTCCTGCAGCCTGGATCTGCCTCTGCATTTTTCAGCTGTGTAAGCCAGTCTGAGTTGGATTTACTATTTCTTGCAACCCAAAGCATCCTGATACACAGAAAACTCTATTCCGGATTAGCCCCAGAGCCATGAACTCCTTACCTTCTGCCTGAAGGATGCTGATCGTTCTTGTCACCTCCATCCAAACAACCCCTGAGAGAGCGCCTCCTGGTCACTGTCTCTCCTCATTTGATCCTTGACTCAACCTCATGAGGTGGGTGAGGCAGGTGTGTGTCTGCATTTTACAACTGGAGAAACAGGTCAGAGAGCTTAAGTGACTCACCCAAGGTTTCCTAGCTATCAGGTAGTGGAGTCTGAACCTGAACCCACATCTGCTGCCTCCAAAGCCCATGTGCTTCCAGCACCCCAGGTCTCTGAAATGGGCAGCCTCGGGGGTGGGGAGCAGTAGCTGAACATGCACGAGTTAGCTCCAGCGGTGGATGACCGAGGCCCTGAATGCCTGCTCCCATCTTCCACCAGGACAAGGATGGTGACAGTGAACAGCAGGGGCAGGCTCACCTCACCCTTCTAACCCGCTGCCCACTGTCTGTCAGGTCCCTGGCATAGAGCAACGCCCCCTGCACCAAATGCATGCCACCCCCGTGCAGAGTGTGATGCTGCGTGAGTCACAAGCAAGGCGCCGGTGAGGCAGTCTTCCCGGGAGCTGACCACAGCCAGCCTTCTCCACTCCAGCCCGGCATGCCTGACTGGTTCCTGGACATCCTCTTTCACTTCCTCGCAACAACCTCTTTGCCTCTGCTTTCTACCAGCTGGTGCAGGAGGTTCAGAGGACGGGGCCAGGCGGCTGATATTCCTCCCTCCTACTTCTCGGGCACATCCAAGAAGAAAGCCAGGCAGGCGGGCAGAGTGCTCATCACCAGCCCAACTTAATGGGAAGCTTTCTCTGCCCCCTGCAGAAACACAGATGTGGAAAAATAACAACAATGACAATAATGCATTTTAAAAAACAAACTTGCACTGAGTTCCCATATACCCCTGAGTCAGTTCCCCCTCTTGTTAGCATCTCATATAAATATGATACATTCATCCTAACTACTGGCCAATATTGATATATTAACTAAAGTCCATACTTTGTTCAGAATCCTTAGTTTTTACCTGATGTCCTTTCTCTGCCCCAGGATCCCATCCAAGATACCTCATTACATATAGTCATTATGTCTCCTTAGGCTGCTCTTGGCTGTGACATCCTTAGACTTTCCTTGCTTTGAATGACCTTGACAGTTTTGAGGACTCGTTAAGTATTTTGCAGAATGTCCACCAACTGGAATTTGTGTCAATTTTTTCTGATTAGACTGAGTCTGGGGGGAGGAACACCACAGAGGTCACGTGCCCTCTGATCACATCCTATCAATGGTACATGCTATCAACATGGCTCATCACTAATGCTGTTAACCCTGGCCACCTGGCTGAGGCTTGCCAGGTTTCCCCACCATAAGGTTCCTCTTTCTTCCCCTTCCCCTGCTGTTCCCTTTAGAAGGAAGTCCATGTGCACAGCCCACTTAAGGGATGGGGAGTTATGCCCCACACCCTTGAGGGTAGAGTAGCTACATAAATTATTCAGAATTCTTTTGTTTGGGAGGTTTGTCTGTGCTCCATTTATTCAATCATTTATATCAGTATGCACTCATGAATATTTATTTTATACTTCGAGGTGCACGGGCTTCAGTAGTTGTGGCACGTGGGCTCAGTAGTTGTGGCCCACGGGCTTTAGAGCACAGGCTCAGTAGTTGTGGTGCATGGGCTTAGTTGCTCCGTGGCATGTGGGATCTCCCCGGACCAGGGCTCAAACCCGTGTCCCCTGCATTGGCAGGCGGATTCTGAACCACTGCGCAACCAGGGTAGTCCCTACGTTAGGGTTTAGTATTCTACTCTCACCACCTTTGGTCACATTAAATTCTTTCCATAATAAAAGGTATTCCATTTTTGTTCTCTTTTTTTTTTTTTTCGGTACGCAGGCCTCTCACTGTTGTGGCCTCTCCCATTGTGGAGCACAGACTCCGGACGCACAGGCTCAGCGGCCATGGCTCACGGGCCCAGCCGCTCTGCGGCATGTGGGATCTTCCCGGACCGGGGCACAAACCCGTGTCCCCTGCATCGGCAGGCAGACTCTCAACCACTGCGCCACCAGGGAAGCCCAACATTTTTGTTCTCTTGGATGTGGGACTTCATGTTGCCATCTGCTGTACCTGTGATGGCCTGGGCCAATGAGACAAAGCGGGTGACAGGAGCCTGGGACTTCAGCTACCAGAGTCAGAGCAGACTCAGTGGCACAGCTCTCTCAAGGGGAAGGCTGGGTGCACCCTGGGGCTGCAGGGACTCTGCTGCCCAGGCGTGCTGACCAGTGCCTGGCAGGAGCGTGGTGAGTGCCCTGCAGTGGCCCCTCTGTGAGGGGGATGATGACGGGGATGATGACATGGGTACCCTGGAGACCTACACCATGCTCCCAAGGAAGGTGAATGCTTCACTGGGCTCCACCTCTCGAGTCCCTCCCCTCCATCTCGAGAGCAGTGGCTGCCTTGGGCCTGGATCCCACGGTGGCCAGTCTACGTGGTGGGATGTGAATGGTTAGCCAACCCGTGCAGGGGGGAGGCTCTGGCCCACCTTCCTTTCACCCATAGCCTCCACCCAGCTTCTCTGCCGGCTGCACCAGGAGCCCGGGGCTGGTTCTGCTCAGGTAGGAAGGAGAGCGCAGCAAGAGCTTGAGAAGCAATGACCTGGCCCTGTTCCCTGCCCCTCCCACCTGCCAGCCCTCTCTCGTCAAGGGCCCCAGCCTCTGAACTCCTCTGGCACTGTAGCCCGGGCATGCACACTTGTGCCACGCGCGTGAATCTGGTCTCCAACTCCTCTAAGCTTCTTGGCGGCAGGGCCTAGGCTTCATTAGGCGCCCTGAATCTCCCCAGTGCCTGGCACAGGGCTGGGCTGAGAATACGTGCCGGTCAAATACCCATGGATTGAACTCATGCAGAGGCAACCTCAGGACTGACCTAACAGTGCTCAGAGATGAACATACACACACGCTTGTGTCCGTGTGTGGTGCCTGTGACAGGCCAGGCACTGTGCTTGGGGTGCAGTAGCAAGCACGAAGACCACACCTGGCCTCACAGGAGCTCCCAGATGGAAAGGCCTGCCAAACCGTTCACGGCAGCTCTCTGCAAAGGAGTGGGCCCTGGACTCACTACCTGGTCGGGAAACAGTCAAGTCATTTGAACCAGAGTTCCTGTACCTCAAGTCTCCCACTAGCCTGCTATGGATGTGGCACTCCTCCTCTCAGCTGGCTGGCCTTGCTGTGGCCTTTTGGTCCAAAGCCACTGGCCACTGTCCTTTAGCCCCAGATCTGTCCCTGCCACCTCCGAGCCGTTGATGACTCCATGTATTTCATTTCCTAAGTTGAGATATTTTCAGATGGTAACAGATTACGTCTTGCTGGAATCCCTTCAGAAGCCAAGCAAAGCCTGTTTGTTACCACACCCTTTGGCATTCAACATATATTTACTGCCCCTTTCTTGTGAGGATTTGAACACACTGAAGGATAGGGTTTATTCTCTCCATATTTCAACAAAACTCAAATGTTTGCGTGGCCAGGACCCATGCCGGCGGCTAGACCTAAGAATTGTTAACATGTGAGTCCTTCCAAAGTGCCAGGCTTTCCAACTTATGCCTTCACACCTCACAATGGCACCTTGTGCTACTGCTGTCCTCATGCCTCAGGAAACCACAGCAGTGTCACCCAGAGCCAGTCCAGATAGGTGGGCTCAGAGCCTGTGACCTAAACCACCCAGGCACTGGTTCTGAAGCTTTCGGGCTCCCTGTCCCCCCCTTGACCCTAACGGAGCAAGGACAACACTTACCAGCTGGGTAATGATGTTTACTGGGAGAACCTCCAGAACTCGAGCAGGGGCCTGATGCCATCAGTCCTGCGTACAGCTAAGCCTGCTTCTCAAACCCGGTCCGGGAATGATTATTTGGCCAATCGGATTCTCTACCTGAGAAATGAACTAGAAAATATTTTTGTTTATCCCCTTCTCACGGCAAGTGTGGGGATGTATTAATTAAGCCCGTGCCTTAGTAAACCCCAAACTGTCGAACCCCGCAAGTGAAGGACACTGCCTTTGCCCGTTCATGACTCAGCAGTGCTTCAGAAGGGTCCTAGTTCCTGCCATGGTTTTTCCACCGTGCATCCAACTGTAGAGGCTGGTAAACCCCTTTTCCCTACCTGGGTTTCCTCCTCAGGCTAGAGAAACTGTTTTGAGCAAAGAAAAGCTCTCGTTTCATGTTCCCGGAGGCTGTCCAGAACAGAGCCTGGCAAACAGGCCTGAGAGAGAGCCTTGCTCTGGCTGGCTTATAAACCTGCCTGGTGACAGAGGACAGCCAGTGTGTGGCATAAAAATGGGTGCTGCCCCATGATATCACCCTTGCTTAGGGCTTCAAAAACAGGTGGCAGGGCAGCCCTCACTAGTGTTGGAAACCCACGGGGAGAAGGGAAACACCATCAAGGCAGTCCTATTAATAGGACTGTTTAACAAGCCCCTCTCCGCCCCCTTTCCCCCAGTGCAGCCTTAAAGAGCCCGGTCTCAGACCCACCTGGCTAATTCAGCTGTGACTCACTTTCCCCAAGAGCTTCCTTTTGTTCCCTGGGTTACTTTGCTGTTGGGAGTCAAACCTGAGTGCATGAGAATCACCTGGGAGAGCTTGTTAAAACAGCCCGACTCTGGCTGGTGGGCAGAGGTATGCTGCAGGTCAGAGCTCGAGCCCAGGAATCCTTTTAACAAGCACCCCCAGGGCATGGCCAAGGATCCACTTCAAGTAACAACACCATGGGGGCTTCTGAACAATTCTGCCAGGCAGAGCACCAAGTGCCCAAAGTTTAGAGATGCCACTGAGTAGCAGAGGGAGGGGATGACACAGTCTCACTCCGGCTGATGACAGATCTAAGGTGCATTCTCCGGTTTTGAACCCTGGAGTGTGTCACTCCAGTTCTGGGGTCCCCTGCCGTCTCTTTATTCACTCTGCCTTGTACAGGGAGGGCACACCTCAGAGGTGGGAAGCATTTGTGAGATACCCAGAAGTCCACCCTCACGCAGTCTGGAGACGGCCGCAGGAGCCGGATTTTTCCGTTTTGCAGATTCAGCCCTGGTCACGTGCTCTACGTAGATGACGACAGTTGGCACCTGAGTGCTCCCTTGGTCCTGAGGTCAAGTGCATTATAAGCATTATTTCCTTTAGTCTTCACAGACACGTCATGTGGTTAAAGCTACTATTATCCTCATTTTATAGATGAGGACACTGAGGCTGAGAGAAGTAACTCGCCCGAGATTACCAGCTACTGACAGAGCCAGAATTTTGAACTCAGGCAACCTGACTTCAGAGCTCAAGCATAGTCCACTCCGCTCTATTATTAGAAATCGAACGTGGCTCTCTTCAGTCCTAGTTCAGGGCTCTCACCTACTCTAGTCTTGTTTTTTAAACCTTTCCAAGTTGATAGCTCTGTAAGCTGAGGCAGTTCTTTGCTGAAGTGGTAGCTACTCTACAGATGGGATTAGCAGATCAAGAATTTAAAAAACTGCGCCATTAATACCCTTGACCTTGGGGCAACTGTAAAGGAAAGAAAATATCAAGCTCACCTCTGCAAGAGAAAGAGGTGGCTTTTCACAGGACCAAGCAACTCACCAGGGCAGTCCAGAGCGCAGTGCCGAGAACCAGCCACCAAGAATAACCTCACTGAGTGAACCGTGGTCCAACTTCGGTGACATGGAGGACAGACACTGGATTCCTAGACACGCGAACCAGAAGGAACTCAGCTGTGGCTTTCATCTGTCCCCTTCAGCAAGCACAACCTCCAGCCCGGCTGCTCTTACCTGGTTCTCCTTTCCAGGCAGCTGCTCCCAGTGGCACCGCCTCCTCTCCACCACTTGTCAGTCAGGTGGTTTGGATTTTCCCAGGTGAATCAGCTATCCTGTTGTGGCCCTTTTCTTCCAACGGGTTTATTGAAATTCTGAGAAGCCTAAAACTCAACCCCTTGTCCAGCCAATATCCTGGAGCCAGGGACTGGCTCTCGGGGACATCCCCTACCCCAGGGCTGGCTCGACTGTTTGCTTCACACTCCATCTCCTGACCAACACGGCCCCAGCTGCAGCTTGGTTCTGATGCCCAGCCTGACCAAGCCAACTGTGTGTAATATGGAATCTACAAATAAGTCCAGATATACAAAGGGATGTAGTAAAGCACAATGAAAGGGGAGGAAATCATACTAACTTTGAAGGCTTAGGAAATCACCTGACCTCTCATTCCCATTTTTTTCCCCTTATTCGTGTCTCTTTCCATCTTAAAAAGAATACTTCAATAAATGGGATGCTGCTCTCTCCCAGCATCCTTGTTTTCCTTATCGCGATCATAGTTTTTGGGGGTTGGTTTGATCACGTTACAAAATGCCTCTTATAAATATGAAAAAGTATATATATATATAACTGAGTCACCTTGTTGTACAGCAGAAATTAACACATTGTAAGTCAATTATACTTCAATAAAATATTTTAAAAAATGCCTCTTATGGAAACATGATCCACCACCACCTGTCAACTCCCATTAACCAAAACGAGATACCATGGATTTGACATCCAATTGATAGAAGCCCCAGCACCACCAATCTAAAGAGTGACAAATCAAAGAACTGATTTGACTTCTCTCCCTCCCTTG